CATGAAAATAAAAAGAAAATAAAAGGTGAATAGCACAGTGCAAAGACAATTGGGCTATGTGTAAAGCAACTCTGCACACCTATAAGCATCATTTCTGTGTGCTTAGGATATAAGCATCATTTCTGTGTGCTTAGGATAATGCAAAAGGCATTGATCAAAGTGAAATGATCGTAAGAAAATGTAGGCTACGTGTCTGCTCAGCTCCCTCGGTCACCACTCAGGAATCAGCCTTTCCTTCTGGAATCCTGACTGCCATTTACAGAGTGCTCTTGCCGCTATATTCCAGGTGCCATGCTGAGTGCTTTGCCTGAGGTGCTTAGGGGACCCTTGCATCACCTGGGTAGTGGTTAAAGAGAACTCAGGTGGTCTTGGCTTCAATACTGGCCCTACCAAGTGCTCCTGTGTGATATTATGCACCATCTGCTCTTCAGTTTTCCTCACTTGTAAAAGGGGAATGATAATACCTCAGGAATTAATACATGTAAAAGGGTTAGTGCAATGCTTAACTCATGGTAAACATTCACCATGTTAAATATCATCACCACTTTTATCTATGAACCATCCCTGCCTGCAAGAACTTATAATTCACTTGAAGAAAGAAACCCCATGAATCAGTCTGGAAACAGTTAAGACTTACTACAGACCACAAAAACTGGAAGACTTAAGGGAAAAAAAAAAGAAGAGAGAAATGAGAGCTTGAGCTGTTTAGAATCATCTTCATGGAAAGAGTGGGATTTGACTTGAGCTTTGGAGAATGAAAAGAAGATGAAGAGACAAAAAAGAGGAGGAAGGGTGTTCTGATAGGGTGAAAAAGAGACCAAGGCCTAGTGATAGCAATGACTGTGTTGAAGGCAGGGGAAAGAGGCAAAATCAGTCAATGAGGGGTAAGTAAGGATGAATAATACCCAAGGATGTGAAGAAACACAAACAAGGGTACAATACCTAGCCACCCACCAGCCGCCTCCTGAGAGTTTCCAAAAGGATGCTATGGTTCTTAAAGTGTGGTCCCAGACCAGCAGTATTGACATCATCTGGGAATTTGTTGGAAATGAATATTCTCAGGCTCTTCCCCAGATCCACTAAATCAGAAACTCTGGGGGGTGGGGCCTTGTGGGTGGTTCTGATACACAACAAAATCTGCAGACCACTGGTGTAGTGAGTTACAAGAAGACCCATGTTCCCACTTTATCCTTCCTGCCCAGGCAGATGCTTCCTCCCATTGGCAGCCCCAGTGCAGGCTGCTTGGGGTCCACTCCTCAGGCATGTTTCCTTTGGCCTGAAAGAAAATTTCCAAAGGGTGAGCAGTGAAGATGGAGAATAGGTCCCTCCTCATATCTTGGGTGACTTTCAAATATCCCATCCTGGTGTCTCCCACTGACGTCTTGGAGG